CCCACACATAAATAAAAGAAGCTCGCCCAAAACGTTTCGCATACGCATCACAAGTGGAGCTTCATTCGTTCATTGACCATTGACCATGTGGAATACGGCGGACATCAATTTACTGAGTGGCGGATTTGCTCAGTCAATCTACCGTCGATTCTTTCAGTGTACTGCCTGGCTGCTCTATGGCATTGCGCGCGTTTGTCATTTCCTCAAGCTGCGCTACAATGCCGAGCATATGCGCATGGAGGAGATTCAGTATCATCATATGATCTCGAAGATAGTCGTGACGGTTAAATTTGTATTCGTATTATTGGATCTTCAGAGTTATTTAGTGCTTACCCTGGTCTTATGGCTACACATTTTTCGAGTCGAGAACAGCGGCGGACAGAACTATATGATTGGCTTGCTCGTCCAAGGCCTTATCATATCTGACCTGCGCCGCATATTTATTTTTTTGCATTCATTCGATGATCGAAAGTTGATCAAGCATATAATCAATGAAATCTTCTATATCACACAAACCATAAAACGCAAGTTTGGCATGATTTATCACTTTGAAATGTGTCTATTGTGCGTCTACTCTTGCAAACTGTATTTGCTGTACATAATGCTAGAGGCCATGTGGTATCATATGACATTTATTTGGATCAACTTCCTATATTGGTTGCTTCTCGAGTACTGTATTCTTGGCTACTTCATTTATCAGTTGATTCTACTCAACTGGTATCGTAATTTTAGCTATTTCTTGCAACGATTTCTCGAGTACAACCGGTATACGAGCTGCATATCCGCTCACTACCATCGTCGCCTGCTGTTGCTCTTTAAATTGCATTTACGCATAATTCATCTGCATAAATGCATCCAGGAGAGAGTCGCCTGGTTGCCTGCAGCGATCTACTTGACCATATTCACGAGTATCTTCAACATGACCCTGTTCCTCGAATGCATTATCTATTCCGACGATGAAATCGAAGATAAAATGTACATAATTGCGGATGGCTGTCTCGGCCCGGCATTCATACCAATTCTCAATGTGTTAATCATTGGCATCTGCACAGATCGCATACGCAGCGAGGAGTTGGCATTGCAGCAACAAATTATACTCGTTAATATTCTGTGTGTCCGCAAAGCCAATCCAAACGATTTTCGCCTAAAGGTTCTGAACAACGAGGTGAGTTGAGAAATACGCTTGATGGCAGCATATATAATATCTCTTCCCATGGTTACAGCACACTGCTCTAATTGTCCATCAGAAACTGGAGCCATTGCATAATGTGATCATATTGCATACAATCGGCGATCGGGAATTTGCCTTTGACTACTTCCTGACAGTGATCGTAACCGCTCTCTCCTTTATACAGTACACAGTGTCCACAAATCGTGTTTACAAAGTGTGCGTAACGCACAAGTAGATTCAAAGAAAATAAAACAAAATATGTATATTCACAAGCCCAGAAATTTCATAAAAATATTTTAGAAATATCGCTAATTCATCATCAATTAAACATTTTTTTTATATTATTTCTTGGACTAGTTAAAAGCCTAGCCTTAGCCCATGAACAACTTGCTGATCCCCAAAACTTTTTATAAATTTACACTCAATAACAGCAACCGCTAAATAAACATTCAACAGTCACGTGCCAATTCGATATTCAATGTCTTCACAACATTTTTGATACATTTTGCTGGTATATTGAAATTTATTTTTATTTTTTATGCAACCAACCCCGAGAGCGAACGTGTGTTGCTCTCAACCTACACACAGCCTACACTCGCACCAGACGATAAAATAATAATCGATTTGACTTTGGTTTGAGTTTTTTACTTTTTCACCCACTCACTCACTCGCTCACTCTTTCGCTCTTTTGGTTAACAAAAAAAAAAAAGTCCACAACTCATCCAAGCCGCCCCCCAAATAAAGCGCAAAAGAAGGAAAAAAAAAACAGAAAAGTGGAGCTCTGGCACTTCCTGCTGGGAATCGATTTTTGTACACTTCCCAAACTGCGATGCTACCAAAATTTATGCGAATTTGAATTTGATATGGTTAAACTGTTTGCCTAGGCAACGTCAGCCATGCAAATGGTTTGATAAGAGAGCAGCAGAGAGCTGGGAATGGGGGCGTATGGTAGGCTGTCATTGTGCCTAGCTTTGTCGCTTTTTAGTGTAAAATTAATTTGCTATAATTCATCAATGGGCCCAGCCAAAGGATTATTTTGCATAAAAAATTGTGGCACTTGTCGATTTTTGCATAGTCTGCTTTTGGTAACAAGTAGCAGCAGGAGCGGCAGGAGCAGCAGGAGCATCTGTTAGGCAAGCGGTTGGGCTCTGATAATAGCGAAGAGGGACTGGAAGGTGGTCCATTTGGTGTGTGTAACTGACGCACTTTGTGTAATTTATGGCTGCACATTTATTTTATTGAGTTTAATGTGGGCGCAGTTGTTGCCAGCGCCTCACAAAGGTGAAAGGTTGGTCTGGGTTGCGTTGCGTTGCGTTGGATTGAGTTCGGCTGGTTTGGTGCGCTTCGCAGGCGGCTTGAAGGATGGCAACTGCTGGTCCATTGGCGCTTTGTTATGCCTGACTGAGCGCACTGGCGAAATGTATTACGTTTGAGCAGGGGATGAATGGTATTTGAAGATGCCACAAACACAGTTCATGAAATGAATCAGCGTTCCGCAGTCATTCGAATATTAAATTCCAATAAATTTGGCAGTTGAAAAATTTTGAGAAATGACTTATTTAATATAATGACTAATTGATCAATGGATTTATTGAACTAGAAACGCGTTTAATATTGAACAATGAATAAAAACTATGATTCCAAATGTGAAGTATTTTATAAATAGAAGCTAAACAGAAATTAGACATTATAAAAAATAATTAAAGTATTAATATAAATTGAAAAACTAAACTATATTCATAATATTTATAATACAATTATTTTATATAATATTTATTTTCAAATAATTTAATAAATATTAAATAAAAAAATATATGTACAAAATAAATATTTATTTTTAAATATAAAATTCCTCTACATAAATAATCACAAAAATTAGAATATCTTATGTATATTATATAATCTATAATATTATTACGTATTTCAAAACTAAGTCAACTCGACTACAATTTCGGTCTAAATAAAAAATATTTACGAAATATCTTCAAAGATAATCAAAGTCCCATTCCACTTGCCATAAATCTAATACATCTCTGGCAACTAGAAATATACTAAGACTTGGCATTAAATTTTATAATGCCAATTAAATGAAATATGTTTTTGTAAGCCGATTTCCAGAACAAATAAGCAAACAAATTAAATCGTTAGCCCCGCAAAACTTTTGAGAACAAAACCCAAACATGACGATGCTGCCTCTGATGTTGCCCAAGAACTAATTAAGCATTCAGAAACGTTTTGGCATTAAGTTTAAATTGTCTGTGGACATGGGCGCCCGATGATGCTCGACTCTAGCTACGAAAATCCAATAATAAAGCCAAAGCTACCGTCGACAACGACGACAACGGCAACGACGCTTGATAGTCATAAATTATAGCAAATTATTAAGCAAGAGTCAAAAAAGTTTCGCATCGCACGCGCCAAAACAACAGTCGCGAGTACATTGCGTATACGTAATGCCGGACCATGTCGCCTTTTGCTCTGGAGTATGATTTATTTTTATTATTATTGGCGGTGAATTTTAAATCAAAAAGTGCACAAATGCTGTTGCCCCCAACAACAACAAAGACAACAACAAATTGGGCGTAAGCGCCATCCTCGTCACCCCAAACCCAAAATGAATGAAAAAGTAGCAAGGGCAGCAGGAGCAGGCAGCAGGAGTAAAAAAAGTATGCTACAGTTGTTTGAGTTGCCGTCGGTCGCAGCTGCTTTTGTCATTATTAATAACTGTTAATTATTCACCATTATAACTATGCTTGAGAGCACGTTTCGTGTTTGTCGCCCACAACGCCCACCATCTACTGTTATCCCGCATTCTCTCTCTCTTTCTCTCTATATACTTTGTCGCTCAAGTAAATTCTCTTTTCATTTTGTTTGGCATCATATTTTATGTGCTTCTTAGTTAACGCCTGTTCGTCTCGCCTCATTTTCTTCTCACTCTCACTGTCCCTCTCTCTCTCTCTCTCTCTCACTCTCTCTCTATCTCTATTGGCCATATTTACATATTATTAAAAACTTTTTCAAGCTCAGACGACAACGACGAAGGCAATGGCGACGGCAGCCAAGAAACTTTTCTATTTTGCCTTGGTTAAAGTTATTGAAAATTCATGAATAATTGACATTTATTGCAGTTGGCACAACTGATGGTCGATAATGGACGACCGAACGCCCACTCTAAAGTGGGCGTGCTTTCTGAGATTTTCTCTGTGCGTGTGCGTGTGCGTCTTTATGAGTGAGTGTCTCTGTTTCTGTCTCTGTCTCGGTCTCTGTCCATTTATAGACATAAATATTAAAGTAGCTTACGTACTTAATTGTAAATTATGTATTCAATTAGTTATGCCAGGCTGCCCGCACCAACAATACTGTCAGTAGCTCTGTAGACGATGCGTGTGCTCTGCCATAGATAACTAATTTAGGAATATTCAATCAAATTTTCAATTTACTGTTCATATGCAATGTCCGAGTTTATCAAATATTCATATCGAATTAAATTAATGCACTGAACTGTCACTTGAGTTTTCTGCAGCTCTAAACATGCTGCAACTATGCTTTATTTAATATATATTTTTGTTAATTTAGATATATTTATAAACAAAATAAAAGAGATGTGTAATTAATTATTTTTTATTATTATTATTTTCTGTATCTGTAATATATTTTTTAAATTTTTATTTTATTTTCTGTATTATTATTATTTTCTGTATCTGTAATATATTTTTAAAATTTTTATTTGTACGTTTGTCATCGGCAACGTAAGGAATATGTTAAATACATAAGTCAAGCTTTGTAAAAAATCAAATTGAGAACTTCGGTTTAACGAACAGCCAAAGGTTGGAGTTCTGCTTTTGTTGTTGATAACATTGCAATTTTTGATTAAATGTGGCCCGCAGCACGTTTGCATCATGAAAATCTGCCAAGCATTATGAAAATGTGAGCTAACCATGCGGACCCAGCCAACCCACTCACTGGTTGCCTAAATATATTTTGCCATAAAATAACACCAGAGGGCGCTGTCAGTAACATAAGCTCAGCATTTCCGTTTTTGTTTTAGTTACAACTATACTGCACATGTATATATACTTTATGTATGTATGTGTATGTGTATGTGTATGCACGTGAGTATTTTTGTATGGGTGATTCTCGTATGCATATGGTAGCATATATTTCAAAACATTTATGTGCGAGTATGTAAACCGCATATGCTGATGGTTTTTAGAGAGGGCCCTACGCATTGCCAGGCATTTGCATTCAAATGCATTTAATTAAATCAACTAGAACCAACAGGAAAATGCAGTAGCAGCAGCAGCAGCAGCAGCAGTAGCACCGAACTCACCTCAGCTCAGCACTGCAAATGACCTTTCCTTGCAAAGAGACGCACACCCCAGGCGCTCAATATGAGCCTCATAACATTTAAAACAAAATTTATTTTGCGCAAATTTTGCCAGGTTCGTTAGTTTTAATTGTTTAGTTTTCATTTTGCAGTTGTCAGTTGAGCCACAGTGGCACAGCACTAAAAATTATTGCAAAGAAATGTGAAAAGAAACTTGACGAATTGAACAACGAGGAATATGACAAAGATATTGCTAGCAGTCCGAAATTCCTCGATAATCGAAAAAACGCAAATATTGATCTAAAATATATTTTAATATATTAAATATTATTAAGACTATTTCTTATATTTTTTAGAGAAATTCAATTCATCTTTTTTTTTATAAGCAAAACAAAAATTATTTCATATTATTTTTTAATATTTATATTATATTTGTTTCGCTATTCCTATATCAAAATTTCAATTTCAAGATTATAATAAGAGTACAGAGTATAGTAATACATTTTCGACATTAAATAAATAAACAAAAAGTCTTTTAAAATATTATAAATTATTTAAGAAGAACTTGGGGACATTTCAAGCAGAATATTCAAATTTCCATAAGAGTAAGAAAATCATAATTTATACTTATAAATTAATGATATTCCATGTCTACAAAAAGTAAGCTCTCGCGTACCTTTGTTTAGGTTGACAGCAATGTAACCTTGCTTGCAATTAACTGAGCTGAAAATGTTATATTTTTAGCCGACTGTTGATGCGTTTTCTGCCAATTTGACAGTTTTGGGCTTGCGGTTTTTAAAAACAAGCGAAACCATTAAATAATACACAAACGAAGCAAAAGCCAGATCGAGAGTGCTGTCGACCTGTCTGCCAGGCAGCCTGCCTATTAGCCTGGCGGCTTGGCAGCCTGGCTGCCTGGCAGGTTGGCAGGCCCAAGGCCAATCCCACTGTCAATTAGCGATTGGCTGTAACAGCGTACCCCCATCAAGCTGTCAAAAAGTTAAATGTGAAAAACTCATTCGTATCATTTATATTATTATCGCTAATTGAAGACAAGGCCGTAGGTAATACCCAATGGCTTCAGCTCGCAGACTCGCCTCCGACAGTTCCCAATTGAAATCAACTCGGGTGGGTCTGTAATGAACCAATGATAACGGTGCCTAGAAAAAAAAGGTTATAGATGGCATCCAACATTGTATTCATGTTTGTTAACACTCGAATGCATTTCGTCGTTTCTGTTTCAGTTGCTTTACGAAAAACTTCACAGTGGCTTCTAACACAAATGGGATAAAGTTTTGAATTTATTTCATTATTTTCGTTTTTTTTTTTTTTTTTCTTCTTATACTATGCTGCTATCAAAAGAAAATTCTGCACGACTACACTGATTTATTTAGGTCGAGAACAGAGCAGACGCAACTTATTCAAATCAGCTGCGAAATAATCTAAAGGGGTTAACTTGAAGAGTTGTCAAAACGAAGTGAATTAAGTGTATTTTGTGTTTGAGTACATTTTTGGGGGTATTTTTTTTTAAAGAGTCAAAATACTCTGGAGTGGGCCTTTTTTAATAAGAGTTCCGTAACTCTCAAGGCACACCTCGCTTTTCGTTACATCATAATTATCAGCATACATGCGCCAACATTTTAGGGGCTTATTTAATTAATTGAAATGCCGTCTTTTGCCAGACTTCGCCTACGACTAAACTCTCAAGCACTTTGCTCATCCATTTGCCCCTGCCGGCGCGAGCATCCATTAGTGGAAACAGCGAGGCATAATTGTGCCAACATTTAGCATCATTATTTTTGCGCATTATCTTTGATCTTAATAGTTCGCTTTGACAACGTTTTTACTTCTTTGGGTTGGGACTAGCCCGCAAAGCATTTAATGTGATTAATTAATTTAAAGTCCCCAGGGACCAGTTACAAAGACATCATCTGCTCTCCAAATGTTTACCTAAAAAAAAAAAAGGTGGATGAGGCGCAGGAGGAGAAGAAAAAGATTCCCAATTCCTCTAATTGCCTTCAATCAAATAAGAAAGTTTAGTAAGAAGAGCGTTGACAGTGACACTTGAAAAATGAACAACAACAACAACAACACAAAATAATAAAAAACAAAGGAAACTAACGATATTTTGATGTTGCCCCTACCGCAAGGTGCTTTTGAAAAATGAATGTGAAATTAAGGGCCTAGTACCCTTTGATAAGTGCCATTCAGGTAGGAGCAGCCGCTCGTCATTTTCTCGTTTTTGATGGACAGAATGGACAGGAGGATGCCGCACAGGTACAGTAGAGCCCGGACAACAAAAGGCCCTTCTGCACCGAAGCCATTTATCAACACTCCACGGCGCCATTTTAACTTAATAAACAATAATCAGGCTGTAATTATATGATGGTAATGGCATAATGAGAGCCCAGACAATACGTCAACGTCCTTGTTTGGCTTGATAATTGAAAATGTTTGTAATTTTCGCCTGGCTTTCCTTTCCTTTTTGCCGTTGTCTTGTGTTTTGCCCCAAACTTTGCACTTTTATCTGTTGCAAAACTTTTGTTGGCCTTTTTTCTCCATTTGCCTTCACTTATTTATTTCTTCTTTTTTTCTTTGTTCCTTTTTGTTTTGTTGCTTTTATTATTGTTGTTGGTTACTGCTGCCACAAAAGTTTTGCGACAGTTTAGGGATTAGCAGTCCCGAAGTAGGCAATGCCAAAAAAAAATACCAAAAAAAAAAAAATGAAAGAAAAGTTTCAGGTCATGTACAAATTTAAGTGCTAAAAAATTTGCTGGATTATGTGGTAGTTGATGAAGTTGTTGCGCGGGGAATTAAATGTCAAATGCTTAAGCATAGCTCGACGTATTGTTCCTCCAGTAATTCACTAATAGATTTCTCTGCCAAACATTGGGTTTTGATGATGATCTACTCCTGCTTAATCTCGCCAACTTTCATACGTGGGCCATGCAAACAAAAACTTTTGATTATTACTGGCAGCCCACGCGCATAAAACTTAAGACAAACACAGCTGACGTTTCTTGAGGAGTGAGAGAAACAGAGAGAAAGAGAGAGAGAGACAATGAGTGTGTGTTGGCTTGGAGGCTCTGCGGCCTATCAAGATAAATATAAGGCACATTTTACGCCCGCTTATTATTTTTAGCCGAGGCAATGTTGAACTTTTAGCGGTACCGAAACTAACTAAGAAAGCAACTAGCAACAAAAAGCTGCAGAATTTGGGGAAAAGGTAACACACAAAGTAATCTCTATAGTTACTAAATTGTAATCGAACGAGGACATACTCTTTAAAGTATAAATTATTGCATTTCTCATCTATACATATTTACATATTTACATTTTTATTCTATTTTACTTATTATTTATTATTTATTATTTATTATTTATTATTTATTATTTATTATTT